CCCATACTCACAGACAGAAAGAATGAATATTGTTAAAATTACTATATTACCAGAAGCAATCTACAGTTTCAATGATATTCCTATCAAAACACCAATGATATTCTTCACAGAGACAGAAAAAAAAAATCCTAAAATTCATATGAAACAACAAAAAATGCCAAATCGCTAAAGCAATCCTGAGCACAAGGAATTAAGGCTGGAGTCAACGTATTACCTAACTTCAAATATACTACAAAGCTGTAGTAACCAAAACAGCATGGTACTGGCATAAGAGGAGACATGTAGATCAATAGAACAAAATAGAGAACCCAGAAATTAATCTGCTTATCAATAGCAAACTGATTTTTACAAAGGCCAAGAACACTCATTAGGGAAATGGCAATTTCTTCAAAAAATGGTGCTGAGAAAACTGGATACACAGAAGAATTAAACTAGATTCCCATCTCCCATCGTACACAAAAATCAATTCATAATGGATCCAAGACCTCAATGTTATAAAACTACTAGAAGAAAATATAGGGGTAATACTTCAGGATACTAGTCTAGGAAAATATCCCATGAGTAAGAACTCCAAATCACAGACAACATAAAAAATAGACAAATCCGATGACATCAAACTCAAAAGCTTCTGCATAGCAAGGGAAACAATCAATACCATGAAAAGACAACCTACAGAATACATGACAATATCTGCAAACTATTCATCTGATAGGGATTCATATCCAGATTACACAAGGAACTCCAGTATCTCAAGAGCAAAAAACTGATTTGCTTAAAAAACAGGCAAATTATCTGAACAGACATTTCTGAAAAGACATACATATAGCCAACAAATACATGAAGAAATGCTTAACATTATTAATTATCAGGGAAATGCAAATAGAAACCACAGTGAGGTATCATCTCACCCCAGTTAGGATGCCTATTTTCAGAAAAACAAAAAATAATAAATGCTGGTGAGGATGCAAAAAAAAGGGAACTTTTATACACCATTGGTGGGAATGTAAACTCGTATAGCCAATATTGAAAACAGTACAAAGGTTCCCCCCAAAACACTACAATTAGAACTACCATATGGTCCAGCAATCACACTACTGAGAATTTATATAAAGGAAAGGAAATCATTAGATCAGAGAGACATCTGCACCCTGTATTTATTGTTGTACTATTCACAATAGCCATGATATGGATCAACCTAGTTGTCCAACAACAGATGAATGGATAAAGAATATGTGTATACACACACAATGGAATACTGTTCAGCCATTAAAAAAAGAAATGAAATCCTGTCATTCACAGCAACATGGATGGAACTGGAAGAAGTTATATTAAATGAAATAAGACAGGAAAAGAAAGTTAAATACCATGCGTTTTCATTCATCTATGGAAGCCAGGGAAAGTAAATACTATAGAAGTCAAAAGTAGAAGAGAAGATAGGGTAGGAAGGGTAGGAGGAAAGGAGGGATAGGGGAGAGATTCAATCACGAATACAAAATTACAGCAAGATAGGAGGAGTAAGTTACAGTGTTGTACTATCAGTGTTCTGTAACTATAGGATGACTATAATTAACAATAATATTGTCCAATAGCTAGAAGGATACTGGATGTTCCCCACACAAATAAATGATTAATGTTTGAGATGACTGATATGCTAATTACTCTGATTTGATCACTATACATTCTATGTATCAAAACATCACTATATATCCCATCAAAGTGTATAATTATTATGAGTCAATTTAAAAATAAACTATAAAAATGTTAATTACTATTTAAAATGACTATTTTATGAAATAAATGTTTTGAGCTATTTAAGCCAGACTTAGACAAGAAGGAAAGACTCTTAGAAAACTGAAATGCAATATCAGATTAGAAGAAGCAAAAGACAGCACTGGCAGTAAAAAAAATCACATTGGCCATATGATAGAATGCTGAGAGGGTGGAAAAAAAAACATGAAAAAGATGGTAGACACAGAAAAATGAAAACAAAGATTTAAGAACTGAATATTCTAATATTGGATATTCATTTTTTTCCTAATCCTAAGAAAAAATGAAAGAGAATATTCAAAAATAAAAGAATATTATTCTTTAGTGAACAATACCCTCTAAATTTATACTAAAACAGTATGCAGAATATTAGTGAATTTTATGATCAACTGTTAGACATAGTCAATGAACAACTAATGCAATAAGAGAAGAAAAGGAATAAAAGGTATGGAGATAGGGAAGGAATAATTAAAACTGTCTGCTGACAGATAACATAACTGAGTAAAAAATCTCAAAGAATTGACAAAAAAACTAATGGAATTGAGAAGCGATTATAGCAAGGTTGCAGAAAACAAGGTAATATACAAAAGCCAACTGTTTAGCTATCTCCCAGCAATGAAGACTTAGAAAAGGAAATTAAAAACACAGCACTCTTCACACTAGCACCAAAAAAAAATGAAAAATTAGGTATAAATCTAACAAAACATGTATAATATCTTTATTAAGAAAACTACAAAAACTGACAAAATTCCTAAATACATAGATACTCCATGAATGGGGAAGACTTTCCTAATGTGATGTATAAAGTCAACACAAAATCCCAGCAATTCAATACAAAGATTCCCAGAATTTTGTGGGTATGTATAAAGTGATTCTAAAGTTAATACGAAAAGGCAAAGTATGCAGACAGCCAACACAATACTGCAGAAGAACAAGGTCAGACAACTGACAGTACTTACCTTAAAGACTCACTAAAAGTCTACAGTAATCAAAACAATGTGATATTGGCAAAAGAACAGACAAAGCAAGGGAACAGAAAGAGAACCTAAAAATACACCCACATAAACATAGTCAGCTGATCTTTGACAAAGAAGCAAAGGCAATTCAATGGATAAAAGACAGTCTTTCTCCAATTCAGCATTCATTTCCAAAAAAAAAAAAAAAAGGAATCTAAACACAGACCTTACACCTTTCACAAAAATTAACTCAAAATGAATCACAGACCTAGACATAAAATGCACAACTATAAAGTTTGTAGAAGATACATAGGAAAAAATCTAGATGACCTTTGGTTTGGTGATGAAGCTTCAGACATAACACCAAAATCATAACTCATGATAGAAAAAACTGACAAATTAGATTACTAAGATCAAAGACTTCAGTTGGGCACAGTGGCTCCTGTCTGTAATCCCAGCACTTTGGAAAGCTGACGCAGGATTGCTTGAGCTCAGGAGTTCAGGACCAGCCTGGGAAACATAGGGAGACCTTGTCTCTAAACAAAATTAAAAAACACATCAGGTGTGATGGTGCATGCTTGTAGCCCCAGGTACTCAGGAGGCTGAGGTGGAAGGACTGCTTGAGGCCAAGCAGTCCTCTTGAGCCCAAGAGGCCGAGGCTACAGTGAGCTGTGATCAGGCCACTGCACTATTTTCTAAGTAAGTAAATAAATAAAAACTACTCTACCGAACATACTGTTAAAAGTATGTTTGACATAGCAAATAGTATGTTTTGTATGTATACATAGCAAAATAGTATGTTTGACAAGCAATAGTATGCTTGACTTTGACATAGCAATAGTATGAAAGACATAGCAAGATCCTGTCTCAAAAATAAAAATAAAAATAAAATATTCTGCTCTGCCAAAAGACAATGTTAATATTAATAGTATGAAAAGAAAAGCCACAAACTGTAAGAAAATACTTGCAAAACAAAACTGAAAATCAGAAATATAAAGGACTCTTAAAACCTATCAATAAGAAAACAACCCAAATTAAAAATGGACATAAGACACCTCACCAAACATATACAGATGAAAAAGAAGTGTATGAAAAGATGCTCAACAGCATGTCATTAGAGAATTACAAGTACAATGAGACACCAATCTACACCTATTAGAATGGTTAAAAAGTTTCTTAAATTTAAAAATTTAAAAATTTGAAATTTAAAAACATTTCACATAGTTCTCTTGTGAAAACCACCCAAAATAATAGTGAATTCAAATGCAAAGAAAAACCATAATAAAAAACTCAAGAATAAAGAAATAGTGATTTATAGAAGCTGAGTATGAGGACTAAAACAAATTAAACATAGATTTGAAACCTAAAAATTACTGTAAATATGATTATAAATGTGAAAATTTGTGAACTATTAAAAGAAATTACCTAGATCTAAATTCTCAATTTACATACTTTAAACAATACTTGAGATGAGTGATAACAGTAAAATCCTAACATATTCATCATAATAAATTTCAATATATATTGCTTAAAATGTTAAAAAATTTTTACTTATCCATTTTTTAAAGTACATTAGTAAAAAATTTAAATTTATTGTATATAATACATGAGAACAGATTTTACACAGACTACTTAGCATTGAAATTAATTACTTTCAAAAGTTAACACCCATAATTTGTCTCCTATATTGCATAAAGGATATGAAAGAAATGCTCAAGGGGAAATAAGTAAGAATATCTTTTTGAGGTAACTAAGTAAATACAATAAAGAGGAAAAGGAGACAGGAATGATATAAGATGTGAGCATGCATCTTATGTAAAACTATGTAAATTAGGGTTAAACAATAAATAGTAATAATGTAGGAAAAATAAAAAGAATGCATGATATGATAGTACTCTAACCTATAACAAAGGGAAAAACCCTACCTTGCAGCACTGATGTAAAGAATAAATGAGAGAACATAATAAAAAGACACATAGTACATGCTCAATAAATGCTATTTTCTTTTTCCACTGGAAATCTCTACTTCTTCAAGGACAAAAGACCATGTTGGAACAAACATCAATTGACAATTTGTCACTAGGAGGACAAATGAGGGGAAAAAAGGTCTGCTACACTCAAATATACCACCCTAACTTTATAAAGTTTTACATGTCTTCCATGATTAAAAAAAAAAAGGTAAAATGTTACAAAATAATGAAATGAAAAATATTTTCAGTATTATATAAAATAAGAATCATCATATGCCAACAAACACCAGAAATGAACAGCTTTTACCATAGTTTTTCCTGATCCTCGGGGTCCGATAATGAGGACAGAGTTACTCTCTCCATGGAGAGCGGTCCTTTTTAGCAGCTCACTTAAGTGTCTAAAATGATATAAATAGGACAAAATTTTAAAAATGAAGCTGGAATACTTTGTTAGGTTGTAGTTTTTTAAAGGGCATATTTGAATATGCATAGAAATTTCCTCTCTTCTCTCCCTCTGGGCACTTGGACTAGCCTCTGAATGGTCCTAAACAGAAAAATACAAAAGAAATAGGAGGGTAGTATAGACTCTGAAATCTTCAGGTGGAAATGTATCAGATTGGAATATATTGATTTGTATGATCGTGGGGACAGCAGTGGCAACTCTCAGGACTCTTGGATTCAAATCTCTTTTCCTACTAATACTCTGAACTTTCACTCCATAGTTGGCTGCTGGGTATTAAGGGCAAGATGGTTAGAATTCTCTCCACAGTATTAGATAACATAAACAAAACAAGATTGAACATTAAAGTGCTATTGCATTATGGAAATATTTGTATCTGCTCCTGCTTCACGCTATGTGGTGTTTCTATTCACAAAGCAAAATTTTTTACTACTATAAAAGTGTTTGTTAGGTTTATTTAATATCAAACTTGTTACATAATTTTTGCAAGACCTGGAAGGCACCTGTAAGTTGGTCCGTAACAGTCAAAAGGACAGCTAGACTTACTTGTATTGTACTTGCACTCCAAATAGGTTACTATGTGGACTCTGATGACAAAATCTTTCACGTAAAATTCTTTGTACCTGATGAAAATAAAGTGAATAAATATAAAAATATTACACATGCAATAAAAAATGATTAAGAAAGCACATTTACAATAGCCAGAATTAGTTATTAATGAATCAATTCAACCCTCCCTAAATTCTTATCCTCTAGAGTTATGGCACCATAAGTTAAAATATTAATGGTGTTCTTATCTATCTCAAGTCCCACAGGAAGAATTTAGTTGTGAAGGTTTCAGAAAAGGGAGAATCACTGACTTTAGTTACGTTAGCAACTCAAGGGCTGTTTCAATGCATGTGAACGAGTTCAGAAAAAAATTCTTACAAGGAGCTATATTTTGAGTTCACCTTAGAAAAAGGGCCTTAGACTTAGTCATGAAAAATTATGTCAGATAATCTACCATACTCTTTAAAAAGATGGACCATTAAAGTCATTCCTTTTTGGATCTGCAGCTAATAACAGAGGTCTTTCAAGGACAACCTTAGGGTGCTATCTCAGATTTGGCCCCATGAACTGGAATAAAAAACCTCCAAAAATATTTGCTTCTCCTAGACTGACGGCATGGAACTAATCCTTCATGTATCAAAGAAATAAATCTGAGTTCTTGTTCCATGTACAGAGGCTAAGCAAAGAAAATGATTCACTAGGGACAAAATGATACATACTTGTTCATTATAGAGGAAGTTAGAGTAAGGACACTGGCACCAGAAGAGGCTACTATATGAATTTTAAAAGGTTAAGTCTGTTCTAAATTTTAATTTCTTTATCTATAAAATAGGGACAATAACACCTTGTTGCAGGCCTGTTTTAAAGATTAAAAAAGGCGGGTGGCCGCGATGGCTCACATCTGTAATCCCAACACTTTGGGAGGTCGAGATGGGTGGATTGCTTGAGGTTAGGAGTTCAAGACCAGCCTGGCCAACATGGTTGAAATCCCTTCTCTACTAAATATTCAAAAATTAGCCAGACGTGGCAGATGCCTGTAATACCAGCTACTTGGGAGGCTGAGGCAGGAGAATTGCTTGAACTCAGGAGGCAGAGGTTGCAGTAAGCTGAGATTGTACCACTGCACTCCAGCTGGGGCAACAGAGCAAGACTTGGTCTCAAAAAAAAAAAAAAAAAAAATTTAAAAAGGCAAAAGGCAATTATCTGTAACACAAATAGGCTTTGTACAGGTAATAGCTAATATCTATAAAAATACATAAAAGAACATATATATGCACTCAACTAGTCATAATGTGTATTCCTCTACCTAGATGAGATCAAAAGAAAAAACTCAATCCCTTCCTTAAAAAAAAAAAAAGATCAAAACAAAACAAAAAACCAAAACTTCATTAAAATCTCTTAGAGGCAGTAATGGGGTGTAAAACATAAGCTAGATAAAGCTGCAGTGACTAGTTAGAAGGTTCACAAATCCCAAAGTGATCTGGCATGGAAGTTAAACACGTATATACATGTATTGAAATTAATTCAGCTGTACATGCAGGATTCGTGCACTTTACATATAAAGGTACGTAAAGCATATTTCAGTGAAATTTTTTTTTTTAGAAATAGAGTTAAACAACTTCCTTCAAAAAGAAAGCCAAGTCTTATGAAGGAATACCAGTAACATTTAATTTTTATTTAAAAACTACATGTAGTTCAGGTCAAGCTAGATACATACAAACATAGAAATACCATGCTCATTTCCCTACTAGACTATAAGCTTCTTAAGGAAGAGATATACAGATAGATGTTCAGCACTTGGAATACAGTATGCACTTCTGATAACGTTCATTATAAAAACACTCGATAATCGAGGAACGTTAACGGAACTTCCTCAACTTAATAAAGGGCATCTAAAAAAATCCTACAGCTAATATCACATATAATAGTGAAAGACTGAATGCTGTCTCTCTAAGATGAAAACAAAGACAAGAATGTCCATTCTTCCCATTCCTGTTCAGCATTTGTTCAAGCCAGGGCAATTAAGGAAGAAAAGGGGGGAAAAAAAGGTATCTAGATTAGAAAGAAAAAAGTAAAAGCTTGAATTCTGACTACCCGGACTTAATAAGGATAAAATTAAATTACAGTATAAAACATTAATATTAAAAAAAATATATGAACTCACAAAAAGGATAGAGAACAATCATAACAACAAGAAAATCTGTTGGTCCACATTTAATTTTTACAGAGTCTGGAAAATTTTGCTTCCAGATGATAATGTTCTTACGACCTTGTACTGATATCTCAAGGTCTTGTACTGACATCTCCTGAAGGTTAGAAACAGTGATTCTTCTTATACGCTAAAGGGAAAATTCAAGTTAAGAAGATAACTATTTCTCTCAACACTTTTATAGGGTAAAAGGTCTTGAGGTTAATGAAAATACATACTAACCTGTGAAAGGCACTCTGCGTGAATTAAGCTGTTACTCTTTGATTTACGACTGCTCATTTCAACAAATTCAAATCCTTAAAAAAATTGGCATAAATATTATAAACGTAGTGACTTGAAGAGATAATACCTAAGAATTTACTGTTCTACAATTAAATACAAGTTTTTAAAAGTAAAAAATGCTCAAACCCTAAGACCTTCAAAATCTTTGATGGCTTCATTTTGTCCAAGTACAGGTTTATTCAACACTCTCATACCATACTTTAGGTACACTTGGTTTTATTGTGCTTTGCAGACAGTGCATTTTTTTAAGTAAATTGAAGGTTTATAGCAACTCTGTGTCCAACAAGTCGATAGGTACCATTTTTCAAACACTATGTCCCCATTTTGTCTGTCAGCATTTTTCAGCAATAAGGTATTTTAAAATTAAGGGATGTACATTTTTTAGACATAATACTACTGCACACTTAATGGACTAGTATACTGTAAATATACATTTTATATGTACTGAGAAAAGTTTTGGGTGATTTACTTTATTGTGATATTTGCTTCACCGCAATGGTCTGGAACTGAACCTGTAATAATACCTCCAGGCCTGTATGTGGTTCTTAACAGCTACTCCTCCCTTTCCATTAAATCTTCTATTCACCTTCCCTTTCTTCCTTTTTCTTTAACTTATATGCTTCCTTTATGATTATCCCACCCATCCATCCCACAGGATCATCCTTCATAGAAAACCTTCCTTTCTTGCTCCACTCACCAACCATACACAAATAATCATTACAGACTAGGTTAAATGCCTCTTCTTTAAATACTTATAAGTGCCTGTATTTCTCTTTATTATTTAATTATTTTAAACAAAATTATCTGTTTATTTGCTAGTGTTTCCAAATTGAGATTTTTTATATTCCAAGCATTGTAGCACAATACTCAAAACAAAGTTGGCAATGAATAAATGGAATGAAAAAAAATTAATGAAAAATGTATAATTCTTGTAAAATTCTCCTCAAGTTACCATACTCATAGACAAATACCTTTGACTAAAAGACCTAATTTTCTTAGCACTGATTTCCTATAGGACTACTTTAACAGTTAGACAGTAACAGCTTAAGCAGTGTTTACTTAGGTATCAGGAATTGTTACAAATAATTTGCATTTATCAACTCATTTAATCCTCAAAACTACCCTATGGGATAACTACTATTATAATCCTCTTTTAAGGTTAGAAGACACAGATAGGCTAACTATGTTGACCAAAATCAAACAGTACGTAAATGGAAGAGCCAGGATTTGGATCCAACCAAGTTAACCGCTTTTTTAAAAAAGTGTATTCTGGTCTCATCTAGTCTCCAGAAGAAACACAGCTTTGCTGACACCCTGAATTTTGCCCAGTGAAAGACATTTTGGAACTTTTTTACTGCCAGAACTCATAAAACTCAAGAAAAGCTCACCTATCATCAAATCACCAATGATTAACATTATAATAACGTGAGAATGACGGCAGCAAGATGAAATAGGAGGCCCTTCAGCTTGCATTCCCAAATAGCAACAATAATTTCACAGCCACCCACGGACAAAAGTGTCTTTGTGTTAGCCTTGAGATGCAGGCAGGCGTCTGTGAAACCCCAGTGGGGCCCAAGACCTGGGAAAGTCAATTTGAGGGCAGATCTTCATTCACATGACAGGTTCCCCAACTGTGGTCCAGGCTTCAGACTTGGAAAGGGCCCTGTCCTCCTGAGGGCTTAGCTAAAGCCTGATAGGACCTTGTTACCAGGGGCTGTAGCAGGATATGAACCCTATCTGGTGGTGGACTGGACTTTTTCTAGGACATTGGTCTGTACAGAGGATGAAGATATGCAGAGAAAAGACCTGTTACCAGGTGTGTGGATGGTGTGGCTTTCTCTGGGAACCTGGGAGGGCTCCTACTGAGTAGATAACCTGAGCAGGCACTACTGCCATAGTCCCCAGCTGAGTGGGGCTGGAACTAAGTCACAGGGTTGATTCAGGGCCTACAGTCAAGACTTAGGTCTTCAGGCCTGTCTAAGGTGTCATGAACCTGCATGCCTCCCTTCAGGTTCTTAGGTTGGTGGGCCTGCTCTCAAGCTGTACTGAGAGGGGCTGGAGCCACTTTTAAGGGGTGTTTCAGGGACTGATGAGGGACCTGGGTCAGGTGGCCTGTTGGCAGGGCTATGGACAGCCCCATCTCCCTCCAGGATGCTGGGTAGGCAGAACTGCTCTCTCACCATAGCTGAGCGGGGCTTATGCCAAGATTCAGGGTTGTTTCAGGACCTGCTGTGGGACTGATATCTGCCTGCCTGTCCTGAGGACACGGAAGGATGTATCTCCTGACTACAGGAGAATTTCTGTGCAGGATTTCTGTAAGACTGTGGCTAAGATGTGCTGGATTCCCAATTCATAGCTTTTTCAGCATATGCTACAGGACAGAGACTGGCAAGTCTGTACTGATGGCATAGACATATGAGTCTCCTAGCAGTTCCTTGTGCAGGCAGGGTTGCTCTCAGGCTGCAACCAAGAGTGGCAGGAGATGAGCTTCAGGGCTGTTTCAGGATATAATGTAGGACCAAGTTCAGAAAGCTTGACCCAGGGATTCATACCGTTTTGTCTTCTTGTGGGTCCTTGAACTGATCTCAGACCACAGACAAGTTAAAGTGTCTTATCAGGGTCCACAGTTGAGACTAAGGATAGTGGACTTATTTTCTGAGGTACCAGTGTGCATGACCTTTCCTGGGCCTCTTGGTGAATAGTTTTGGTAGCAGGCTAATATCCTTGATGAATATAGGTACAAAAATCCTCAACAAATATTGGCAAATCTAATTCAACAGCACATTAGATCAATTAACATGATCAAGTGGTATTTATCTTTGGGATGCAAAAGTGGTTCAACATATGTAAAAAAATATGTAAATGCCATAATGTATTAACAGAATGAAGGACAAAAATCACATGACTGACTCAACAGATAAAGAAAAAGCTTCTAACAGAACTCAATATTCCTTCAGGATGAAAACTCTCAATACATTAGGTATAAAAGGAATATACTTCAACACAATAAAGGCCATACATAACAAACTCACAGCTAACATTGCACCCAAAGGTAAAAAGTTGGAAGCTTTTCCTCTAAGATCAAGAACAGGACAAGAATGCCCACCTTGGCTATTTATATTCAATACAGTTCTGCAAATCCTAGCCAAAGGAATTAGATAAGAAAATTAAATAAAAGGCATCCAAGTCAAAAAAGAGAAAGTTAAATGATCTGTTTGCAGATGACATGAATTTTATATAGAGAAAACCCTTAAGACTCTACCAAAAAACTGTTAGTACTAATACATACAGTAAAGTGGCAGGATACAAAATCAACATACAAAAATCAATAAGATTTCTCCACACTAATAACTATTTGAAAAAATTAAAAACCAGTCCTAATTACAATAGCATCAAAAACAAATTAGAAAGAAATGCAACAAAGGAGGCGAAAGGTCTGTCATTGAAAACTATACAATATTGATGAAAGAAAGTGAAGACACAAATAAATGGAAAGACACTCCATGCTCACGGATTTAAAGAATCAATGTTATTAAAATTTCCCTACTACTGGAAGTGAAGGTCAAAGTAATCTACATCAAAATTCTAATGACATTTTTCAAAGAAATAGAAAAAACCCTTAAAATTCATATGGACCCACAAAGACATTTAATAGCTAAGACAATCATGAGCAAAAGAACAACGCTGGAGGTATCAGACTACCTGATTTCAATACCTAGTGCAAAATAAAGATAATTCAAAACAACATGATTCTGGCATAAAAACAAACATACACACCACCAGAATAGAGAGTCGAGAAATAAATCCATACTTTTATAGTCGACTTATGTTCAACAAAAGTGCCAAGAACACACCATGGAGAAAGGACAGTCTCTTCAAGAAATGGTGTTAGGAAAACTGGATATCCACAGGCAGAATAATGAAATTGAACCCTTATCTCACATCATATACAAAAATCAACTAAAAACAGATTAAAGACAAATGTAAGACCTGAAACATAGGGAAATAAAACACAGGGGAAAAGCTTTTTGTCACTGGACTTGGCAAAGGTTTTTTTGGATATGACTCCAAAAGCACAAGCAAGAATAATGAAAACAGACATAAAACTAAAAAGCTCCTACAAAGCAATCAATCAACAGAATGAAGAGACAACCTACAGAATAGGTGAAAATATTTGCAAATGTTACATCTGACAGCAGGTTAAAACCCAAAATATGTAGTCGGTCCTCATTAGCAGATTCAACCAACTTAAGAGAGAGAAAATTTAGAGGGGGAAAAAATGCAACAATAAAAATTAATACAAATTTAAAAAACAATACATTATAATGGCTATTTACAAAGCACTTACATTGTATTAGAAGTTATAAGTAATCTAGAGATGATTTAAAGCATATGGGATGGTATGTGTAGGTTATATGTAAATACCATGTCAATTTATAGAAGAACCTTGAGCATCTACAGATTTTAGTATCTGAGGGGGGTCCTGGAACCAGTTTCCTGTGGATACAGAGGGATGACTGTATAAGGAACTAAGAAAAAATAGCAAGGAAACAACCCAATTTAAAAAATAGTCAAAAAGATTTCTCACAGGACATAAAAATGTCAAATAGGTATTTGAGAAAATTCTCAGTGTTACTAATTTTCAGGGAAGTACAAACAAAACCACAATGAGATAACATTTCACACCTGCTAGGAAGGCTATTTGTTAAAAAAAGACAAAAGATGATGAGTGTTGTTGAGGATTATGAAAAAAAAGGAAACCCTGAAACACTGTTGATAAAAATGTAAATTAGTATAATCATTATGGAAAACAGTATGGAGGTTCTTGAAAAAATTAAAAGTCAAATTATATAATCCAGTAATCCCACTGAATATCCATCCATATATACAAAGGAAATGATTAATACATCAAAGATATATCCTCACTCCATATATACTGCAGCATTATTCACAGCCAAAATACGGAATCAACCTAAGTGTCCATCAATGGATGAAAAGATAAAGACGACGTGGT